TGGTAGGTACTAAGGAAAATAATACAGCAGAAAAGGGGTTAGAAAATATGAAAGGAAAGGGCTACAGAATACATATTGAGAAGGTAACATCTGGGTCAAGACCTGAAAGAATGGAGCCAACCATGGAAATATCAAAAGGAAGAACAATCTAGGTAGAAAGATGAGCAAGCACAAATGCTCTGATGTAGAAGCATGCCAGTATGTTTGAGGAACAGCAAGGAGGTCAGTGTGGGTAGAGAAAAAGGAAAAGGAGTAGAAGACGAAGTAAGATAATTAGGGTATGGGGAGGGGAGTCAAATTATGTGGGGCCTCATGGGTCATTTGTAAGGAATTTGGCTTTCCCTTTACTCTGAGTGAGAAGAAAAGCCATTGAAGAATTCAGAATGGAAGAGTGTAAGATGTGACATATTTCAATAGTATCACTTTGGCTGTTTTACTGAGGTAAGACCAAAGGGAAAAGACAGTGGAAGCAGAAAGACCAGTCAGGAAACTACTGTTATAATCCAGCAAGAGCTAGTGGTGGCTTGGATCAATGTAGTGGCAATGCAGAGTGTAATAAGTGGTTATATTCTGTATATCCAACAGGATTTGCCAAAGAGATGGGAGAGGTCATAAAACCAAAATAAAGCAACTACAGAAGTAGGATGAAAACCAGGCAAGTAAGGTGTCCTATAAGCCAAGCGAAGAAAAATTTCATGAAGAAGAGAGTGATCAACAATCTTAATCAAATAAAGGACTGATGAAACTGATCAGCAACTATAGAGCTGAAAACCTGATTAAAGTGTGTTCCAGACAAAAAGGAAAAATTGAGACATTTTATACAGACGTCTTAAAAGTGTTTTTGCTATAAGGGGTGGGGGGAGAAATGAGGCAGTGTCTGGAGAAGGAAGTAGAGAGAGGTCTTTTTTTTTTTTTTTTTTAAAGATGGGAGAAAATATTATGGGCTAGTGGGAATGATCTAAAAATAAAGGAAAAATGGGAGCAAGTTCAGTTGCACCAATATGGATACGTAGGCGCAGATGGGGCATGTCCTTGGACTTAGAAAGCAGGCCGCCTGGCTTGGTGAGTGGGAACCTCTGTGTAACATGCAACCAAAGAGCAATTTAAAAATGAATGATGTTGAGAAGGGCAAGAAGATTTTTGTTCAAAAGTGTGCCTGGTGCCACACTATGGGAAAGGGAGGCAAGCACAAGACTGGGCCAAATCTCCATGGTCTATTTGGGTGAAAGAAAGGTCGGATCCCTAAATTTTCTGCCAATAAGAACAAAGGCATCACCTGGGGAGTGACGGAGTATTTGGAGAATCCCAAGAAGTATATCCCTGGAACAAAAAATGATCTTCGCTGGCATTAAGAGGAGTGCAGAAAGGGCAGACTTGGTAGCTTATGTCCAAAAAAGCTACAAATGAGTAATAGGTGGCTACTGCCTTATTACAACCAACGTCTTATGACATTTTTTATTTGTACCATATTTAAATTGATCTCATACACCAGAAATCAGATCATGAACAGCTGGTAAAACATTTCTTTTGGGCAGTTCTGATTTAAATAAGATTGGCATGTGGTTAAATTAATATAATCAGCATTTTGAAACTTGATGGTAATTTTGGTTCAGCAAGTGCTATCATTGTTTTCCCCTTCTAAAAATATGATTGGCCTTGATTCATAATGTTTAACTTTTCAGAGAGATGGTGGATGCCATCAAAAACCCTGTAGGGGATTGGTTTTATACTTAGATTTATACAACTGGTGTATTAATATATGTTTAAATACTGAGGAAATCCCTTTTCTATTTCTTAGACCAGCAAGACTTGCTTATATTTCAAGTTGTACTCATTAGCAAGATATGCTGGCAGTGTCCATTTTATCATTTTGGTCCTAACTATGCCAATTCAATTAAAATTCCCTATCGAAACTGTTGCCTTTATCTAAAGAGTTGCCTTTTATTTAATAAAAGGCATTTCAGTGTGATTTATGTATAATATCAAATAAAGAACACTTAACACTTCTCACATTTTATAGATGATCTCTAGGGTCAGATGCTTTTAAAATTCAGCATGAGCCCTAGTCAGTTTGGCTCAGTGGAAAGAGTGTCAGCCCTCAGATTGAAGGGTCCCTGGTCCAAATCCAGTCAAGGGCATGTACCTCAGTTCCAGGCTTGATCCTCCGCTTGGGGAGGGTGTGTACAGGAGGCAACCAATCGATGTGTCTCTTTCACATAGATCAGTGGTTCTCAACCTTCCTAATGCTGCGAACCTTTTTTTTTTTTTAAATATATTTATTGATTTTTTACAGAGAGGAAGGGAGAGGGATAGAGAGTTAGAAACATTGATGAGAGAGAAGCATCGATCAGCTGCCTCCTGCACATCCCCTACTGGGGATGTGCCCACAACCAAGGTACATGCCCTTGACCGGAATCGAACCTGGGACCCTTCAGTCCCCAGGCTGATGCTCTATCCATTGAGCCAAACCAGCTAGGCATAATGCTGGGAACCTTTAATACAGTTCCTCATGTTGTGGTGACCCCCAACCATAAAATTATTTTCGTTGCTACTTCATAACTGTAATTTTGCTACTGTTATGAATCGTAATGTAAATATCTGATATGCAGGATGTATTTTCATTGTTACAAATTAAACATAATTAAAGCATAGTGATTAATCACAAAAACAATATGTAATTATATATGTGTTTTCCGATGGTCTTAGGTGACCCCTGTGAAAGGGTTGTTCGACCCCCAAAGGGGTCGCGACCCACAGGTTGAGAACCGCTGACATAGATGTTTCTTTCTCTCTGTCTCTCCCACTCCCTTCCACTGTCTCTAAAAAAAAAAAAAAAAAAATCCTCATTCACAAATGGAAAAATACCCTCGGGTGAGGATTAACATAAAAAATTTTCAACATGACAATATATAGTAGCAAACTTTGCTTATGAATTCTTTAAGTCAGACTAAGTTATAATTCAGGATTGTCTTGAACCAGTTATTCAAAAACAACTATAGAATTACTGTATATATTTGTGATTGGTAATGGTGCTGTTGTCAACTTACTAGAAGAATTAAAGTAGAGAATAGATTATCAACACAAAATTGTAAATTTTGTGATCATAAGGCTTAAGATAATTTTAAAAAATCATAGATCAAGAAATAAATAAAAGAGAGGGGAAATGACACAGAAGAAAGAGGGAGAATTGCTATAGCAACGAGGAGAAAACTAGTATATAAGTAGGTGAATTGGCCTTAGTTAGCTAGGAGTACAGTGAGTTCACCTCTCATAGAAGAGAGAACAGAGCACATGGACACAGATGTTCTCCTCTGATTGCTTCAATATCCTCAGTGAACTAGAAAGCAGAGGTGCTAGAAGTGCTAGAGGTTTAAGGAGAAAGGAGAGTGTATCAGTAGTTGCCTAGAGTATGGACCAGTGAATGGACTGAGTAGCATTAAGGACTCTTGGAGATTAGGGATTATGAATTTAAAGTAAAGCCACAGTAAGTATGGTTATGTTTTTTCCCCCTCTTTGTATGTTGAAACGTATAGGTACAAGGAAAAAATTGAGCACTATATACAAGGCTATGATTATCATGATGACTAAGAATTTAAGCTGGGTAAGGAAAGTCAGACATCAGAAGGATCGGGAACAGTGAAAATAAAATAGGTTTAAAAGACTTAAGATCCCAACAGGCTCAAAGATTTGTAGGAGTAATAGAAATTGTGATATGAAAGGTAAGAGGTGGCAGAGAGTGCAAACTGTGAAGTTGAAATGATGGAGGAATTGAAGTTTGAATAAAGACAAGATCAAGAAGTAAGTAGTGAGGTAGGGTAAAGGGCAAAATTTATTGGAGAAGAGGAATTCCAATGTTTGAAGACACCAGTGTACTGAAAGAATTATCCACATGAACACTGAAATCACAAGCAGTATTGAAGTGAAGGCAGTGAATAATTCTTCATTTCTGTACATAATGTGAGCAGAGTTACTGACTGTCTTTATTGTGGACTATCTTTTCAAGCAAGCTTGTCTAGCAAACAGCCTTAGAAAATGGAGAATGTCTCTCTCTAAATCAAAGGGTAGGTTTACTCTTAGAAAATATTATCTTCCTCCACTTCAAGGGCAGACATGCTTAGTGTCCACTATCAAAGATTCAAGTTCCCTAAGGTTGTGGTTCCTCTGCTATCATTCAATCTACTGTGTATGCAGGTATCACATGGCCCTTTTCAAGTCACACTTTGGAAACTGGGACTTGAGGACCCAGTGTAAGCAAATGCTTTTACTTTGGCTACTGCTTTTGCTGCTAGTAATAAAGTCCTTTGTTTCTGGCCCAGAAATCTCTCCTCTTCTGCCAACATCCATGAAACTGTGATAGTTAACTTATTAGCTTGCAAGTACGATAAAATCTCAGACCCTTGAAAGTTTTTCATAGAATCTCCAATGAATGGAAGGTGGGAATAAAAGATTACTGCAACAGGATGGGTAGAAGGTGGTATAGTTTAATAACGTGAGATAAAGTTTGGAGATGTTTTAGAAGAGATAATGATCTGGAAAAAGCAATGAGAAGAGAAGCAAGGGAAGACCTCCAGGATCAATGTTATAAAGAAAGCATGAGAGGCAATGTTACAGAAGAGGTTGAAGATAAAGAGAAATTTCCTGATGACTGACCTTGAGCTCCAGGGACATTATGAAAGATTTTCAGGAGACAGAGAGGAGTGGGTTTTGGGGTCAAATCTGGATACACATGGTAAGAGATTCATGACTCTTGGGCTTCTTATGGTGACTTACATGAACAAGAAAAAAGGAGCGTGATGAAATTAGTTGTGATTAGTCTTAATCAGATTAAGTTAGTCTACGTGTTTTTACATCCTTCCTCCCTCTTTTACCCACCTAATACTACTATGGAATGCTTCATTTCTTACTAAACAAAACATCATTTTAGAAAATTTTTAACATACACATTTTTTTAAATGTAAATGGCAAAATTGTTATTTAAATAGAGGCAAATGTTAACTTACTTGAATTAGATCTAAAATGCCAAGTTCACTTTCTGAAGAATCCACACAGAAGACAAAATATAACGTTGCATAATGTCTATAAATTAGTTTGTTGTCAGATCCTCCAATTAATCTAAATGACAAAACAAAACAATTGGAAAATTATAAGAACAAAATGAAAAACATTTTCATTAGCTCAAGCAAACTGATAATTTACTTTAAAACATTTTATAAAATAAAAGGTAACATTTACTGGCATAGCATTCAAGTGATCTTGTATCAGAGACTGAGTAAATTAAAGTGGTTGTTTTCTTAAAAAATGTCAAGTAAAAGATGTTGCTGCTTCATTTTAATTCATTCATTCATTAAACTATCTACTGAGTATATACTATGTGTCAGACACGAATAGTGGATAAGGAGCAATAAACAAACATTATCAGAGTGGAAAGCACTACATAGAGAATCAAAATAAGATGATACCATATTGATGGGTTCATTACTTCAGATTAGATGTTAAGAGTGATATTTAGGCCAAGATCTAATAATAATGAGGCAGCAATGACAGAATTTAGAGAAGAGCATTTCAGGCAGAGTAACAACTAATAAAAAGGCCATTTCATCAAGAACAAAGTATGGATGTTCAGGGAAGAGAAAGGTGGTCTATAGACAAAGAAAGATTAGTAAGCAATGAGGTCAGAAAGAGGGCAGAAATCAGATGACAGGACATTTGAAAGTGCTTACTAAATTTAATTACATAAGTCACAAGCTTAAGACTGATTAGAAATGAAGGGAGAAAAAAAAAAGAATGACATTTCTTCTTAAGTTGGACAGATTTCCCAACAAAATCTCCAAAAACACATTTTGTTTTGAAATATAAATGCAAAACAACAAAAATTGAGCTAAGAGATATTCAATTCTTTCATCCAATGTTTTTATTTATATTTGTTAGAATTACAGCATTTTATAAATAATCTTTCCAAACATCTTACATTTTTCTAAGTACAGTTTAACTATCATAGTTAAGTTTACAATAATTAGTTTGTTCATCTTCTCAAAAGACCCTTTAACACTAACATAAAAGCTAACTGAACACTCAAAAAAGGGAAAATGGTATATATTACTTACTCAGTAAAATAACACTGAAACCCTAGCCAGTTTGGCTCAGTGGATAGAGCATCAGCCCATGGACTGAAGAGTTGTGGGTTCAATTTTGGTCAAGGGCACATACCTCAGTTGCAGGCTCGATCCCTGGTCCCGGTCAGGCAACCAATGGATGTGACTCTCCCACATCGATGTTTCTCTCTCTCTGTCTCTCCCCCTCCCTTCCACTCTCTCTAAAAATTCAATGAAAAAATATCCTTGGGATGAGGATTAACAAAAAAATAAAATAAAATGGGTAAATAAATTTAAAAAGTAATACTGAATTTATAAGTTCTATAGAAACAATTTATCTTATGTTCTCTAATAGCAAAAGGAGGAATAATTTTTGACAAAAATTTTTTAACTATGCTAGATGTTTATAGAAAAGATTCAATTAGAAAATATGTATACTTTAAAGATTCTCTGACATTATTTTTATAGGTTACTAGAGGCCCGATGCACGAAGATTCATGCAAGAATAGGCCTTCCTTCCCCTGGCTGCTGGTACCACCTTCACTCTGGCCAGAGCGGCCTTTCTGCCTTCCCCCGCTGCCCAGAGGCCAGGAGTGGCTGGGGTGATGTGGAAAGCCTGCGCTGTTGCCATGGCGCAAGCGTCCTGCCCCGCCCCCAGCCGCTCGGTGCCTGCATATGCAAATTAACCCACCATCTTTGTTGGGTTAATTTGCATACTCACACCTGATTGGCTGGTGGACGTTGCAAAGGTACAGCAATTTGCATCTTTCTCTTTTATTAGTGTAGATTATTGCAATTGTTCCACGAAAGACACAAAAAGAGCACAAGCAGCAGGTTTTGCTTCATCAGAAATCAGCAATTTAGCAGTTGTCTTAAACTTCTGTTTGGCTGTTTTTAAGAAAAGACCAAACTTTTGGTGTTATTGAATGGCTATTAATGTTGTTAAAAATGGCTATGAATGTTATTAAAAGAAAGCAAAGATATTAATATGGCAAGTATATATTTATCTTTAAAAATATAATTTCATCTTTAACCTACAGTACAATACAGATAAATACTGATACAAATTCTTATATGGAATGCAATACACCATATAAAACCACAGAATTTTAGAAATCTTCTTAGTCCAAATACCAGATAAAAACTGCGATAGAAGATTTTAAGTTACCTGACCAAAAAAGCCAGCGTGTTAGTGACAAAACTAGGACTATTCTCATCTCTGATGCAATATTTGCTATCTACTTTTTATAAGGTTGGAAAAGAATAATCACAAAGTCAAGCCATAATTTATAGTTGAAACAGTGCCTGATTAGATCAATCAAGTTTTTGCATGTCTATCATATGCAGCGCACTATGGTGGCTGGTAGTTTCTTATGGGATAAGAGATTAAGAGACTGATATGACAGAAAGTAATAGTGATGGCAAAGACATTAAATTATAAAGGTGTAAGAGAAATAAAAAAATACAATTAAAATATAAAAACAGAAACCAGGTATACCTGTCTCAACTATTAAATTGATAGCCATAAGTTAATAGCAAAATTTACAAATATTTATCAATTTAAGTGCAGCATGATATAACCTTTTATGAAATAAAACTTTCTACGTGGTAAAAAGTAATTATGTTCAGATAAGAATGACTTCTCTATTACCCTATTTTTCATAATATGCATTATATACCTTAAAATACTAAAGTGTAGGCTTCTTTGACTAAACCTGTGATTATTTACAGTGGGACTCATTAAAGTTCAGTTTTTGAATTGTCAATGAGGAAATTTCTTAATCTTATTAAGAAATCAATTATAGCCCTAACCAGTTTGGCTCAGTGGAAAAGCGAGGCCTGCAGACTGAAGGGTCCCAGGTTCGATTCCGGTCCAGGGCATGTACCTTGGTTGCGGGCACAACCCCAGTAGGGGGTGTGCAGGAGGCAGCTGATCGATGTTTCTCTCTCATCGATGTTTCTAACTCTCTATCCCTCTCACTTCCTCTCTGTAAAAAATCAATAAAATATATTTTTTAAAAAAATCAATGATATAAACATGGGGGAACATTTATAAAACTATTTGAGAGCACATTATTTTCATGAACCCCATTAATTTAAAAGTATTTATAATAGTTGGCAAGTTAATTATAAGTAATTTTATTTTTTAAAGTTATTTTTGTTGCAGTATGTGTGACATGTAACACTACAAAGTGTAAGTAATTCTTAGTTTTTCATTTAAAATAGAAAAATATATTAGCTGAATTCTAATCTATATACAGAAATGCTTATACATATACACATAGACATAGATTTAAAAAGCAGACTTCAGTCTTGTTTGTAATAATAAAATAAAGTATGTAATCTAAAATTTAATGAACAGATCTATTCACTCTAAGGCAGTGGTTCTCAACCTTCCTAATGCCGCGACCCTTTAATACAGTTCCTCATGTTGTGGTGACCCCCAATTTCATTGTTACAAATTGAACATAATTAAAGCATAGTGATTAATCACAAAAACAATATGTAATTATATATGTGTTTTCCGATTTAGCCAACCCCTGTGAAAGGGTCGTTCGACCCCCAAAGGGATAGTGACCCACAGGTTGAGAACCGCTGCTCTAAGGAATAGCCTGTAGTCATTACAAAGAATGAAGTTGCTCTAGATATGTTTATAAGGCAAAGCTTTTCAAATTACTAAGTGAAAGCAAGAAATATGCAAACTAGCATACATAGTTTGATCTTAAGATCACACTTTTATATGTTAGTCAATGCAAAATTAATTTTCTAGAATGACACACAAGAAATTGGGAAGGAGGACTAAAATTCGGAGAGACTCTAATTTACATTTTACATTTTATACTTCCTTATAATGTTCAAATTTTCACCATATACATATATTGCCTTATATAAAATCCTATATAATAAAGATGTAATATGGAAATGGTTGTTACACCGTGAAGCGTTAACGACCGACCTTATAAGTACCGGATCAGGGATCACAGGAGGGTGGCGCAGCGAGATACAAGCAGGCAGAGAGCTACAGGAGGGGGCAGGGCAGAAAGCTATGAGGGGGGTCAGGGGGCAGAGAGCTACTGGAGGGCAGCAACGAGCTATGGGCGATGGATTTGGGTGCAGGGCTACTAGTATCATAATAACTTTGCATGATGACAGATGGTTACTAGACTTATCTTGGTGACCACATTGTAAGGTGTATAAATGTTGAATCACTATGTTGTACACCTAAAACTAATACTGTATGTCAACTATGGGGGAAGCTACAGGAGGGCGGGGCAGCGAGCAGAGAGCTACTGGAGGGCGGCAGCAAGCTACTAGCACATGGATTCATGTGCAGGGCTACTAGTACTTTTATAAAATTCTTAAAAAGAACAAGCAAGATTGTATATCTTTAAAAAATTTTTTTAAGTATATTTTTATTGATTTCAGAGAAAAAGAGAGAGATAGAAACATCAATGATGAGAGAGAATCATTGACCGGCTGCCTCCTGCATACCCCACATGGGGGACTAAGCCTGCAAACCAGGCAAGTGCCCTGACCGGGAATTCAACCGTGATCTCCTGGTTCATAGGTTGACGCTCAATCACTGAGCCATGCCAGTCAGGCTAAAAAATTCTTTAAGTTAGATATATAGCTAACATAGATGGCAATTAATTCATCTGATCAAATTAATTAAAATTAAAAAAACTTTTACCATAAACAGATTAAACAGTATATATTCTAAACATACAAAGATTAGAATTGTCTATGAAATGCTTTACTTACAATCCTCCTTCTAAGAAATTACAAACATTTTCATCTCTCTTAGATACCAAATGGAATGTCTCCCTGATGATTTGCTGTTGTGTATCTTCACTCTGAGAAAGAATAATTCATATATGTTAGGATTGGATTTGTAGGTTTAACAGCATTTAAAATTTTTAAAAATAGGTTTCTGGTTAAGATGGTGGAGTAGTAAACGCTGTGCTCATCTCCTCCCACGACCACATCAAAATTACAAAGAAACTATAGGAAAACCATCATTGAGAACCTTCTGAAGACTAGCTAAGGATATACTGAAGTTCCATAACTAAGGATATACTGAAGAAGCCACATGGAGTCAAGGGGGCGGGGGGTGAAGATGCCAAATGGGCTGGTCCCACACCAACATGTGGTGGCTAAAAATCGAGAGGGATATCTTGGCTGCTTAGGTGCCACCTGAGAAGCGAGGGGTCCCAGCCCCACACTAGGCTCCCCAGACCAAGATTCCAGGGTTGGGAAGAGAAGTCCCCATAACTTCTGACTATAAAAACCAGAGGGATTGTGACTGAGTGCGATGGAGGGTTGCTGGAGTTCCAAGCATTTGTCTTAAAGGGCTGGCACACAGACTTACTTGCTGACAGATTTACTCGCTGTGGGGAGGCAGCTCAAAAGGTTCCAGGGACATACGGAGCAGACTGATTTATCTGGCTTCAGAATGAGGGCTGGAGGGGCAGCTTTTGCCCAGACAGAAGTGCTGGCAGAGAACACTGTTCCTTTGTTGATCCCTCCCTCAACCCAGCCTGCACTCGCAGGTGGGTGCTGCATCTGAGCCTCCATCCACCTAGCTAACAGAGTTAACCCAACCCTGGTGATTCCCTGAGACCCCACCTCACCCAACTTGCAAGTACACCCAAGCTGCTTCCAGTGGCTTTTCCATACAAACAGCCTGTCTTTGGCTCATGCTTCAGACTTTCCCAAAATCTCTTAAAGGTTTACAAATCCAAAGAAGCAGCATCTGTCCTTACTGTGCCCTGTTTCTCTTGCAAAGCAGCCCCAAGCCTGACAATAGTGGTAGCCAGCCTCAGTCACCTTAGCCCAGGGGTGGGCAAACTTTTTGACTCGAGGGCCACAATGGGTTCTTAAACTGGACCGGAGGGCCGAACAAAAGCATGGATGGAGTGTTTGTGTGAACTAATATAAATTCAAACTAAACATCATTACATAAAAGGGTACGGTCTTTTTTTTTTTTAGTTTTATTCATTTCAAACGGGCCGGATTCGGCCCGCGGGCTGTAGTTTGCCCACTGCTGCCTTAGCCTCTCCCAGGCACCTCCAAACCCAGTCAAGGGGCAACTCTCTGTAGATCACTTTGCAGCTCATACCAAGTAGCCCAGATAGGGCAAAGGCAACAGCTAACTTTGGCCTGCACCAGAGTCCCTCCCAACAACTTTAAAGGTTGGGATACACTCGAAGTGCAGACTTTGCAGGCGTCAGAATCCTAAAGCAAATCCTGCTCTGTAGGGCCAACCTCTGCACAACAGCTCCTTCACTGTGGTCAGAGCCAGTCCTCACAACCAATCAGCCTGAGGGTCAATCTCTCCCATTGATGTGCCAACAGTAATCAAGGCTCAACTACAACAGGAGGGACACATAACCTACACGACTGGCTCACTGGGCCCCTCATGACACTTAGTCCATAAGGCCACTCTATCAAGACCAAGAAACATGGCAGCTCTACCTAATACACAGAAACAAACACAAGGGAATAAAGAAACATGTCCCAAATGAAAGAACAGAACACAACTACAGAAATAGAACTAAACAAAATGGAGATAAACAATCTACCAGATGCAGAGTTCAAAACACTGGTTATAAGTATGCTCAATTATCTCAGTGAGATCAACAAAGAGACAGGAAACATAAAAATGGAGAAAGAAAAGATAAAAAAGAACAGTCAGAAATGAATAATACAATAACTGAAATGAAGAAAACATTAGAGAAAATCAACAGTATATTAGATGAATCAAAGGACTGAATCAGCAATTTGGAAGATAAGGCAGGAGAAAACACCTAATCAGTATAGCAGAAAGAACCCAAAAACAAAATAAAACAAAAAAACAAGTATTGTTTCAGGGGCCTCTGGGACAACTTAAAGCACACCAACATTTGCATCATAGGAGTACCAGGAGGAGAAGAGAGAGAGCCAGGGATTGAAAACCTATCTGAAGAACTAATGACTGAAAACTTCCATAGCCTGGCAAAGGAAATAGACATATAAGCCCAGGAAGCACAGAGTCCTAAACAAGATGAACCCAAAGAGGCCCACACTAAGACACATCATAACTAAAACGCCAAAGGTTAAAGACAAAGAGAGACTCTAAACAACAGCAAGAGAAAGACAGATAGTTACCTAACTATAAGACTGTCAGCTGATTTCTTAACAGAAACATTTCAGGCCAGAAAGGATAAGCATAATGTATTCAAAGTGATGAAAAGCAAGGGACTACAACCAATATTATTCTACCCAGCAAAGCTATCATTTAGAATCAAAGGACAGATAAAGAGCTTCCCAAACAAGAAAAAGTTAAAGAAATTCATCACTACCAAACCAGTGTTACAAGAAATGTTAAAGGGATGTCTTTAAGAAGAAAGGAAAAAAGATCAAAATCATGAATAATAAAATGTCAACAAGTACATATCTACCAACAATTACTTTAAAAGTAAATGGATTAAATGCTCCAATCAAAAGACATAGGGTAGCTGAGTGGATAAGTAACCAAGACCCTTACAATCGCTGCCTAAAGAGACTCACTTCAGATGGAAAGACACACAGAGACAGAAAATAAAGAGATGGAAAAATAAATTTTTTAAAAATGGAAATTAAAAAAAACAAACAGCTGGGGTAGCAACACTTATACCAGACAAAATAGACTTTAAAACAAAGGTTATAACAAGAGACAAAGAAAAACCCAGAAATTTCACTTCTTGGTATTTATCCAAAGAAATTCAAAGCACTAATTCAAAAAGACAGAAAAATCCTTATGTTCACTGCAGCATTATTTACAATAGCCAAGATACAGAAGCAACTTAAGTATCCACCAATAGATGAATGGATAAAAAAGAAAGGAAGGGTACATATATACAACGAAATATTACTCAGCCATAAAAATGAATGAAATCTTGACATCTGCAACAACTTGGATGGACCTAGAGCATATTATGCTAAGTAAAATAAGTCAGCCACAGAAAGACAAATACCTTATGATTTTACTTATATGTGAAATTTAAAAAACAAAATAAATGAACAAATGAAACAAACAAATTCATAGATACAGAGAACATTTTGATGGCTATCAGATGGAGGGAGGTTAGAAGAATGGGTAAAAAAGGGTAAGAGATTCAGAAGTACAAATTGCTAGTTACAAAACAGTCAATAAAAAGCATAAGCTCAGGTGAGGATTTAAAATAATAATAAATAATATTGTAATAACTATGTATCATGTCAGATGGGTACTAGATTTATTGGGGTGATCACCTTGTAAGTTATATAAATGTCTAATTACTATGTTGTACACCTGAAACTAACAATATTTTATGTCAAATGTAATTGAGAAATAAAAAAATTATCAATAAAAATAATTTTTAAAATGCAAGATAGTGATATCTGTTGGGAAATTCATCTGATAGTTCCTTGAAGAACTTACATATCACATCTCACAGAAACAGAACCCAACATTTTCTTATGAAAAAAAAAAAACAAAACAAAAATCAATGCTTTAGCAGGGGTCCTCAAACTACGGCCCGCGGGCCACATGCTGCCCGCCAAAACATTTATCCGGTCCGCCGGGTGTTTTTGCCGCCGCTGCCTGTTGCCTAGCAGCCGACTAGTTTTTTTTTAAACTATAGTCTGGCCCTCCAACGGTCTGAGGGACAGTGAACTGGCCCCCTGTTTAAAAAGTTTGAGGACCCCTGCTTTATAGTTTACCACTACAATATAACTAGCTTATTTCTACGTTTCAAGACCAACAAGAAAAATATTAGACAAGGGAATTATAGACATTAGTAAAAGGGACACTAGATATTAAATAGTTAAAGTCCACTGTTTTATAAATGAGTAAACTGAAATAGAGAAGTTATAAATAATTCATATAGCTAATCTATTTTTTAATGGAACAAAGTCTGGAGCTTCTAATTAAGTAAGCTTAACTAAATGCAAATTGAGGTAAGAGGCCATCCATCTTACTCAACTTTATATGTTATCAGAAAATGGGTTCTTGTATGTGCCCTGACTGGGGATCAAACCTTCAACCTTGGCATGTTGGGATGATGCTCTGACCAACTAAGCTAACCAGCTAGGGTGCAATATACAGATCATGTATCATAAAAATGTACACTTGAAACTTATAAGATCCTATTAACTAATGTGCCAATAAATGTAATTTAAAAAGAAAAATGGAAACCAGAATAAAGAATAAACTATGTAAGATGTTCATGTTCTCACAGGAACAAAAGAGAAAGGGGGGTGAGGGGAATCCCCTGCTAATTTAAACTATAATCACATCATCAAGTACCCATACTATTGATGAAGACATGTAAATATGTCTAATAATATCAAGTATTGTCAAGAATGCATAACAACAAAGCACTTATACAATACTAGAAGAACTGTAAATTGGTACGACCCCTTCTGAAAACAGATCAGCATTACCTAGTAAAGCTAAACATGCAAGTACCCTAGGACAATGTTATTCAACTCCTAGTTATGTCCTAGAGAAATTATAAAAGATGTTTGCAAGACTGCTTATAGCAGCACTGTTTGTAACAGTAAGAAAACTACAATGTAAACGTCCATTAATCGTAGAATGTATAAATAAACTGTGGTTTATTTGTGCATAGAACATTACACAGCAATGAAAATTAATGACTACAGTAGATATAATGCCAATGGTGATCTTAGAAATGTTGAATTGGTGTGTTTTTTTAAATTAAGTCACAAAAGACTATAAACACCATCATTCTATTTTTAGTTCAAAAACATGCAAGACTAAACAATAAATTGTCTAAAGACAAAAATATGTGGCAAAACAAAAATATAATATTATTTTAAAAATTCAAAA